TACGCGTGGTAATTCGACGCGTAGTAATTCGATCCTTGGAAATTCGACGCGTGAGAATTCCACGCGTGGTAATTCGACACGTAAGAATTCCACGCGTGGTAATTCGATCCTTGGTAATTCGACGCGTGGGAATCCCACGCGTGGTTATTCGAGCGTTAAGAATTCCACGCGTGGTAATTCGATCCTTGGTAATTCGACGCGTGAGAATTCCACGCATGGTAATTCGACACGTAGTGCATTCCACGCGTGGTAATTCGATCCTTGGTAATTCGACGCGTGGGAATCCCACGCTTGGTAATTCAACGTGTGAGAATTCCACGCATGGTAATTCGACGCGTGAGAATTCCACGCGTGGTAATTCGACGCGTGGTGTATTCCATGCGTGGTAATTCGATTCTTGGTAATTCGACGCATGGGAATCCCACGCGTAGGAATTCCACGCGTGGTAATTCGATTCTTGGTAATTCGACGCATGGGAGTCCCACGCATAGGAATTCCACGCGTGGTAATTCGACGCGTGGTATATTCCACGCGTAGTAATTCGATCCTTGGTAATTCGACGCGTGGGAATCCCAATAATATATATGTATAATATACCATATGTATAAAATAACAAATTCTTTGTTATAACAATTTTATCACAATTCAAGTTTGTCATAATTTTATCATAATTTAATTTTGACATAATTTCGTACTTAACATAAGCATTACAAACTAATATACATACATTATCATCAAATTGTGAATACATCCACAGAAAAGCAATTAAATCAAACGTAGAAAGTGTAAGATTACAAATAGGATTCCACAAAAATTTTCTAAAAAAGAGTCGATAGTTGATGAGTTAATGCGAACAAAAAAAGAGAAAAAAGAAGAGAAAGTTTCTTTCGTAGATTTACGTTTAACGTTCGATCCGTCTCGATCTGGTTCGTTTGCATTTTTCTTCTCGTCCGTCGTTCCGAGGCCTCAATCACGTACTCCATTGACTGGAAAATGTAATCCCGCATCGGCCCTGAATATTTTTATCTTGTTGCAAAAAATAATCCGCGAATAATATCGTCTTCGTACTTGTCGTTCCTATGAATAAACTAGAGCGACGCGTCTGTTGTCCTTTTGGTGAATGTTTTTAGCTCGATACAACTGTGTTCAAAATTCTAATCTCTGCTGATCGATTGCTTGACATATTGGCAAACAATTTTGACGTAAACTACCTTCGAAATTAGTTTGTTCTATTTCTATGATAAAATATAGAAGAGCTTGTTACTCTTCTTTGGGAAGAAGAAGATGAAGAGGTAATGGCAGCGATCGTTCTACATTGTAGATGTGGTACATTGTGCAGTTGGGTTTGGAAATGTTAATATTAGGCTTTGTAGAATCAAGTGTTGGGTTAATCAGGTGTCGGAGTACTATGAGTTCACTAACCGTTAAATTACTGCATGTTGGGTTACCACAAGTGGGATCACTAGACATTACAAGGTATAGAACTTTACGTAGAATTACCATGCGTTGAATACATCACTCGTCGAATATACCACGCGTCGAATATATCGCGCGTAGAATTTACCACGCGTCGAATTACCACGCGTGGAATTCTCAAGCGTCGAGTTATCAAGGATCGAATTACCACGCGTGGGATTCCTACGCGTCGAATTACCAAGGATCGAATTACCACGCGTGGGATTCTCACGCGTCGAGTTATCAAGGATCGAATTACTACGCGTGGGATTCTCACGCGTCGAATTACCAAGGATCGAATTACCACGCGTGGAATACACCACGCGTCGAATTACCACGCGTGGATTCCCTACGCGTTGAATTACCACGCGTGGGATTCCTACGCGTCGAATTTCCAAGGATCGAATTACTACGCGTGGAATTCCTACGCGTCGAATTACCACGCGTGGGATTCCCACGCGTCGAATTACCAAGCGTGGGATTCCCACGCATCGAATTTCCAAGGATCGAATTACTACGCGTGGAATTCTCACGCGTCGGATTACCACGCGTGGGATTCCCACGCGTCGAATTACCAAGGATCGAATTACCACGCGTGGGATTCCTACGCGTCGAATTTCCAAGGATCGAATTACTACGCGTGGAATTCTCACGCGTCGGATTACCACGCGTGGGATTCCCACGCGTCGAATTACCAAGGATCGAATTACCACGCGTGGAATTCTTACGTGTCGAATTACCACGCGTGGAATTCTCACGCGTCGAATTTCCAAGGATCGAATTACTACGCGTGGAATTCTCACGCGTCGGATTACCACGCGTGGGATTCCCACGCGTCGAAGCATCGAATTACCACGCGTGGAATTCCCACGCGTCGAATTACCACGCGTCAAATCCCTAAGTGTCGAATTACCACGCGTGGAATTCCTACGCGTCGAATTACCACGCGTCGAATTACTACGCGTGGAATTCCCACGCGTCGAATTACCACGCGTCAAATCCCTAAGTGTCGAATCACCACGCGTGGAATTCCTACGCGTCGAATTACCACGCGTGGAATTACTACGCACCGAGTTCCCACGCATTGTAATATATCGCCAGCTCCCACAATACTCCACCACTCCCCATATATCACAGCGCAAATTCCCTGCATTCAGCAAAGTAAAACAACACCTAAAATAATATCCCCGCGAGAGCATCCATACCAAAGAGATCCAAAGTAGGATTACCAAGAATACCTTAATAACGCAGTTAATGAATTAAACGCATTGCCTCAAGCGAACAACTTGTAACAAGTTGATAAAACCTGGTTACACGTTGTGCAGTCACGATCGTGCGATAAAGCAAGGGCTGCCAGGCAGAATAAGACGTTATCTAAAATAGTTGAACGATTGTAGGTCAGAGAAAAAGTGGTAGAGACAGTGTTATCGGTGGCTCCGCTTTAACATCGTACTTTAATCCTTGGTGGTTGAAGGTTAAGGCATTCGAAGCAATAAAGTGTATATACTAGCTAGACACCGTTGGCGTGTTACCAGGATCCTTCTCCTTTTAACGAAAAACACTTAAGCTCGATGGCTAGCTATCTCGTAAAGTTCCATTTAATAATTTCATTTCTGTGTCGTCTGTATTTGGGTGACGCGTGAATTATCACCGGAACCCATTTATGAACGATGCTCTTTATTCGATTACGAACGATTTTAGCAAGTACAGTAAATGTGTCAATACGCTCGACCCACGTCCACTTTACTGGGTGTCCGATCAATTTCCGATTAAATTTCTGCCATCTTTCTGGTTTAATGTGTTACTCGAAGTACTGTTTGTGGAGACTTAATTTATGGATAACTTTGAGTTTACTTAAGGACGCAGAGATAATTTATGAATAACTTAGAAATAACTTAGGAATACTGATGACTTAGCTATAATTTATGACATAGCTCCTCTACAAGTCTAACAATGTTAATTATTGTTTACAGATTCGAGAGAAAGGTCCCAGTCAAAAGTAACCGATGCAGGGGTCGAAAAGAAGAGTTAGGCAAGCCGCCTGATCGGAGGTGCAGCGGGGCGGTTGTGAGAGTGTCGGGTGCGCTCGAGCTCCTTTCCGGGGATTCAAGATTGGCGGGCTTTAGGGAGCGGGTGTTCCAAGGGACCCGGCAAATGTGGCTCTGTGCACGGTGAGCCGGGGTTACGGGGGCCGCGGGGCCCGTGGCGGCGGGGGTAGATCTCGTGGCGAAGCAAGCGTGAGGCTACCCTTGAGTCCTCGCACTCTGTGCGCCCCTGGGGCCGGAGCTGGAGCACATGTGCACCCACAGGGCGTTGCTCCAGGCGCGGCTCCTACCGCGC